TTTTCATTTTTATCTCTGCATGTTGAGAAGTTTTCAGGGAACCTTCGATTCGAAAATCGCACGCTTTGCGCTTTCTGATAAAATTTGAACCGCGCAAAATCACCGTGAGTTGAAGAAGTTATGACTTTTTGAAAATGGTGCGACAGAACTTTCGGTTTAACCTAATAAAACTAAAAAACACAGAAAAACTTCGAACTTACATTTGCATTAACTCATGAGGCTATCGCTCCAACTACTACACCACAGCCTACCAGAGGGATCTGGCACTCCGATCGTATTTCCCTTGGGCGCCCAAACTTGGCTCGAAAATCCTCTATAACTCCTTTCAGAGAAACGATCAGCAGAAACGGAAGTCGGATTCGGAATCAGCGTTTCGAGGCTAGCATAATGGTATACATCTCATCTCAAAAAACCACGAACACTAAGTATCATTCCCTTGTGGAAGGAAAAAGATTTTGATTCGTTCAGTTGCACTACTCGCAATGAAATTGAAAAAGTTTTAGCAAAAACGACAAATCTCGAAGTAAGAGAGTGCGTGATGATAAAAGACCACTCCATCCTACTTTATTCTTTTTTCGCGTCTTACTACAAATATGTGAGTGATCTAAGCTCAGAAAATGAAAATGAAAAAAATTGATTTCGCTAATAGCAGTACTCGCAATGAAATTGGAAAAGTTGTAGCAAGAACGGCAAAGTTAAAAAGGTCCTCATAGAAATGTTATTACCACAATTATGTGCCAAGTATATTTTCAATGATCTGGATTCTCTTTTTGAGTTTTATTAACAGATTACTACGATGCAACAAATACTGCTTTTTTCTTTCTGAGTTTTATCAATAGATTTTTTAGAAGTATTTTTTGCATCACAAAAAATTCTACTATATATCTTCAAAGATAATCAGCATAGCACTCTATAGAGGTTTAAAATCCTACAACTGATAAGCTAAGATAAGTCGAAAAAAAAAATAGTGGTTACACTATAATGTTTGCTGGCAGTTTCTTCGAATGGTAAAAGCGTGCAAAACATCGCAGGTGTTCAGCCCACGTGCAGCACTCTGCGGAACACGTTGTTGTATTTAAGCAGGTAATGACGTTACAACGGCATAGTCTCATAAAAACATGTTAGTAAATGCATCGGTTGTATCTAACTTCTCAAACAACGGAAATCGGAATTCTGTCCAGTCCTACAAACTTCAAACTTACTCAACAAAGTTACTTATCTATCAGCTATACATACAAACACTTACTATATTTACGGTTGGAATTTAATTGTCATGCTCTAGCAAAAGCATTGCTGACGTTCCAGTATAAGTAATTCTATACTACAAACCTTTTTAAGCACAATGATTTTCAGCTTTCTTTGAGAGTTAGTTTCATGAAAAGTCCAATTTGACATGAAAAGCCCGAAAAAGCAACATATTCTAATTTCTAAATTGTTTTCTTTTCAATTTCTGGCAGAAAAAAATAGAAAAAAGGCAAATGTATATGTGAATGTTTCAAGTGGCTAACATACGCGTGACGAAGTTGGAGGTAAGGTTTTTCTTGGTTCTTGAGCATTTGATACTTTTTAGATCCTTTTTCAAATTTCTCATCACAGAACATTTCGCGATTGTTTGGTCACTGTCATAAAAAAGCTTGATTTGCTTTATCATAGATATGTTTTGCACATTTCTATGTCTCGTCTGCCCGGCGGGATAAGCAGCATGCATTGATTATGCATCAACCTACCCTAATTTCACGACGAGTACAAGGCGCACCCGCTTTTTTGTAAACTCGACAAGCCTGACCACACCAAAAAATTTCGTGACCAAAGGGCCCTAAACCGTGCTGCCTCCATTCCTGAAGCTACATGCGCATAAGTTGTTTTTCCAAACCCAACGACGCAACTAGCGGCTTGCTTGAAAAATCGAAAAAGATGCGTCTTATACTAGTTAAATTAGGGTGATAGTATACTCACTACTCAACCCCCTCTTAAAATTTTTAATTTGATGCAAAAAATACTTGAGAAAATTGCGTACATAAACTTGGTAGAATGGCATAATCGATGATCAGTAAAATGAAATAGCAGTCTATGGCCACTATGGGACACACATGTCGGTAAATTTTCGTTATCTCGTCTGATTTACGCAGTGGATGTTGGCCTCTAGACCAGCTTCCTTCATAGGAATTCGACGAGCAACTTCCAAAAACCTTCGTATAACATTTTTTGCATAATTATGCTTTCATAAACACTGAAAAATTGAGCTAAGTTCTGTCTTCGATCTTTGATAGCACATATCTTCTATCGCATATCTTTGATAGCATAAATGCACTTCAGTCCAGGGAGCACATCCCATATGTTGACGGCGCCGCAAGTCTGCTTGTGAAAAGTATGGTTGAACGAATTGATCTATAAGTTGTCAAATTTTTCGCCCACAAAAAATGTGCCTGATTAATGCTTGAGCATTGCTTCGCCACAGTTTCCCGATCAGCATCCGCAGGGATTTTAGGAAATTTTACTCAAAATGGCTTGAAACGGCCTCTTATTCTTTCGAAGTAAATTTACATCAAGCCTTGACTCGGTGTCCATCCACTACCCCTAAAACTTAGGATGATGAAGATCGCGCCTCGGTAAACCGCAAGTATACTACCTTTTTTTTTTATCAAATTCACTTTTTGTGAAGAAACGAAAACGAATTGAAATTACTCTCAACATAAAAACTCTTTGTGTTTTTAGAGCGACTGACACTGCAAGATTTTAGGCTACCCACAATAGTGTGCTCAAGTGCAGTTTTCTAAAGTTCATTCGTTCAATCTTGTAGATATCAACTCGATATAGTATGCTTGCGCTGCCGAGTACGCTCGGCAAATTTGCGTGTAAACAGGTAGAACCCATGTTGCAGGCGGTATTTCGCGCTTGCATGTGGCGGGTACAGGTATAGCTATTTGATCACGCCCAAATTGTCGCGCAATCCCGGTACCGCAAGCGCATTAGATTGAGCACAAAATCTTTGACTGCGCGCGACATCTTATCACTTGTTTGTATATATGAAGACCAGTGCGTCACCTCTGCTTCGCAGAGGCTCGCACTGGTTCTACTCTATATGTCTTACTTATTCTTGCCTAATAATGGCTTTGAAGCTCACCGCGAAATGCTGACTATCGCGAATAAAATGTAAACAACTATTCATTCTAAGGGCCGCATGCACTAACCTCCCCGCTGGGGAGGGGATCGCAGCTTAAAAGAAAGCTTTATATTTCGAAACTCCAGATACCTGGATTTCACGTTGTGTACCTATCCGTAAGCATTCCTACTACCCTTCACTATGAACATGTTGAAGAGGAGCGAAAAGCTGTACGAACCGCATTTTCCAGCTTTTGTATGATCCCTGACGATCCCCGGCGCCTTTCTTCAAAGTCATTTTTCTTTCTCCGAAGTTAACGAAGACCTTCCAAAGTTGTACTGAACATGTAACACCACAGTGCTAAGCATGCTGCTGATAAGAACAAATGATGTTTTGAAGTCATGAAATTTGCAGTGATCCACAGGTCGAAATTTGAGGTTTACCGAAAAACTCGACTTTTCAGAAACTCATTTGTTCTCATCAGCAACATGCTTAGCACTGTTGTGTTAGATGTTCAGTACAATTTTGGAAGGTTTTCGTTAACTTCGCAGAAAGAAAAATGACTTTGAAGAAAAGCGCCGGGGATCATCAGGGATCATACAAAAGCTGGAAAATGCGGTTCGTACAGCTTTTCGCTCCTCTTCAACATGTTCATAGTGGAGGGTAGTAAGGATACTCACGGATAGATAGACAGCGTGAAATCCAAATCTCTGGAGCTTCGAAATATAAAGCTTCCTTTTAAGCTGCGATCCCCTCCCCAGCGGGAGGTTAAAGCATGCGGCCCTAAGAGTTTTTTTATGTAAGATCGGTGATTTCGCGTGGATGTAACTTTTCGCAGAAGAACAAATGCAAGTTTGAATAGGTTTTGAAACTTTTTTTTAGCTTGGTAGTCGCCATGAGGACAATAGTTAAAGTGAGCTACGTCTCTATGCAAAAATCTTCTCAAATGCTCAGGTAAATCCATGGCGGATTGACCATTTACGCGAACACTTCTTTTTGGCGTCGTTTCCGTAAATTAGCAAACCTTTGGTCACTTTTTGGTCCAAAGTCCATGACTTACACATCAACCTGCTAAACACATCCACGGCTTTGCAAAAAAGCGTTGTTACGGACCCAATTTTGCGGGCCAGAAGCTAAGTGGATCCGTTTGACGCGCAAATTCTGAGGGACCCACCCAGCGAATCCGTTCGTGCTTTTGCATGGTGGAGTTCTACGTTGGTAGCATGCGCTATGCAAAATTTGAGCTCTGGATGTTGGCTGGAACCCGCTGTATGAATTTCGTTACAGACAGACAGACAGACACACACACAAAGTCACGTAAACACCCTTAGCCCGTTATTATAAGTTATGATTGTTCCGTTTTTGTGACTGCGGATTGCATTGCTGAGGCAAAACGTCAATGATCTGTCCACACGATGACGAATTGGACAAGGACGGCCACCAAGATTTAAAATCAACCTCGAAGAAAACGTTTTTGGTGAAGCTTACAAGCGAATTAGCCAGACATTTTGATAGATGGGCCAACTGAAAAGACTAGCCTATAATCCTGCCCCTTGATGCAAACGCCGCCACCGCAGAGTAAGATAGAGATGGCCAAGCTACGGGGAGTATAAATGAAAGCGCTTGCTCTGCGGTCTGCACACAAACGAAACAGGCATCAGATAAAACGGATCAAACGGAGGGGGTTGATAGCGAGAGAATCCAAAAGGCAATATTTCATTATGGCAATTTGGTTTTATTAACATTTTCACATATATGCAATGCCCGTGTTCTTTATGGTCTGGAAATCGATAAGCAATGGGTGAAGTAGGCCAGACATGTTATCGAACGGAACAACAAGTCATTGAAGCATTCTTCAGTTGGTACTTTTAGAGAAGTTTATTATATTACATCACTCATGGATAGCGGCGGAGATCAAGTTTCCCAATCGCATTCGTGGACATCCCCGGTATATCTGTTTCATCTAATTGTAAAAGGACGGGCATACTTCACGCGATTGCAGTCGCTACGCGATTTGAAAAATCGTCAAAAGTCTCCAGATCCAACAATAGCAAACTGCGCATGCAGAGTGTATATAACCTACGTAGTCTGATAATATGCCCTATCTTCTGTACATTTGGAATGTGCATACATTGAGTTAAGGAACCGGAATATTGCCAAATCGCTTCGCGGCTAAAATCGCTTAAAGTATGCTCAACCTTTAGGCCCCGGACAGACTTCACGCGATTTGACCGTCGCGACTGAATCGCGACGAGACAACTGTTACAACATCATTCCATGCCGATCAACTTGCATTTCGGTTGTGATACTTTTACAGCCCGAAATTTTTGAATGTGAAATGAAAATGAATGAAAATGTCGGCGATTGAGTCGCGACGATCAAATCGCGTGAGGTCGCGACGATCAAATCGCGTGAAGTCTGTCCGAGGCCTTACGTAGACTAAGTACCCAGATATTGAGAGCGGACGAGCTGCGACTCAGTTCCGGCCGAGCGCTCGCAGCTCCCGCGTGCCGGCCGTGAATGGACGTTTGGACGGTCGTAAACGAGCAGCCGGGCTCGCGCGTAAAAAGCCGCGCTTCGGCCGGAAGAGGGCCTCGACGCGGCCATATTGCTTCGTACTGGATCGTCTGAGCACCGCCAAAAGAGAAAATCTTACAATGGAATGGTCAGAAGTCGAAGTTGCTACTCCATACATGCTGTATACCATTCAATGAAGCAAAGAATGCTGATTTCAAATCCGTCTTTCATATCTGCAAAGCGCTTTTTAGGCGAAGTTATGAGCAGCTTTACTGCGAAAAAATCATATATAAAAATTGCGAAATTAGGCACATTATTGCTTTTTCAGCTCACCTCTATGGACGGTTCATATGAAGTGACGTACTTGCATGTTTTGGTCCAACACTGAGCCGAGAATGGCTTTACGCCATGCTTGCACTTTACCCGCACAATTTCTTAGCAAAATAATTGCCTTCAACGGCTTATAATTTTGCCCACAAAAGGGCTCTGCAAAAGGAAGATAGATTTAGAGTCAGCGTTTTATGTTGCATCTAATGGTATGCAGCTTTTATGGATTGGTCACTTCAGCTTCAGACCATTCTCTTGTCAGCTGCTTCCATGAAGACAACACAACAAACACCAATCATCCTACTATAATAACGCGCTAAGGGTGTTTACGTTTTTTTGTGTGTGTGTGTGTCTGAATGTCTGTCTGTCACGAAATTCATAGCGCAAGTTCCAGCAAAGGTCTTGAGCCCAAATTTTGCATAGCGCATGCTACCAGCATAAAAGTCCACCATGCGAAAGCACGAGCGGATTTGTTAGGTGGATTCCTCAGAAATTGCGCGTCAGCCGGGTCCACTTTGCATTTGGCCCCCAAAATTAGGTCCGTAATTCCACTTTTTGCAGAGTCGTGGACGTTCATGGCAAGTAAATGTGCAAGTCATGGACTTAGGCCCAAAAAAGTGATCAAAAGTCCATTACTTTGCAAAAACTGCGCTAAAAAGTATTGGTTGAGTAAATGGTCAATTTATCAAGGTTCTACCAGAGCATTTGGCGAGATTTTTGCACAAAGATATATCTCACGGTGACTGCTGTTCTTATTGCAACTGTCAAGACATGGTAAAATCAAAAACCTATAAAAATTTGGGTTTGTTCTCCTGCAAAAAGTCTCATCCACGCAAAATCACCGATTTCACATGAAAAAGCTTTCGGAATGAGTAGTTGTTTACATTTTGTTCGTGATAGTCGGCATTGCTCGGTGAGTTCCAATGCCATCATTACGCGAGAACGAGTAGGGCCTAGATAGTAGAGCCAGTGCGAGCCTCTGCGAAGCAGAGGTGACGCACTGGTTTATGATAACTCCTTTATCTTCTGTCCAAGATATCATCCTGCTATAATAACGCGCTAAGAGTGTTTACGTGTTTTTGTGTGTCCGTCTGTCTGAATGTCTGTCTGTCACAAAATTCGTAAAGCGTGTTCCAGCCGACGTTCTGAGCTCAAATTTTGCATAGCACTTGTTACTAGCATGAAAGTCCACCGCACAGAAGCACAGATTTGTTGGGCGGGTTTCTTGGAAAATGCGCGTCAAACGGATCCACTTGGCTTCTGGACCGTAAAACTGGGTCCGTTTCCACTTTTTGCAGAGTGGTGGATGTTTATGGCAAGCAAATGTGCAAACCATGAACTTAGGCCCAAAAAAAGTGATCAAAAGTCCATTACTTCACGAATACGACGCCAAAAAAGTATTGGTTGCGTAGATGGTCAATTTTCCCAAGGTTTTGGCAGAGCATTTGGCGAGATTTTTGCACAAAAATGTAGTTCACGGTGACTACTGTTCTTATGGCAACTGTTAAAACCATGGAAAAATCAAAAACCTATAAAAATTTGAGTTTGCTCTCCTGCAAAAAGTTTCATCCACGCGAAATGACCGATTTCACATGAAAAAGCTTTCGGAATGAATAGTTGTTTACATTTTGTTCATGATACTCGACATTGCTTCGTGAGTATGCCATCATTATGCAAAAATGAGTTGAGCCTAGATAGTATTGCCAGTGCGAGCCTCCGAGAAGCAGAGGTGAAGCAAGTTTGTATTGCCATCTATCGTTTCAGTGTTGTTCTCAGGCACCTCTCCCAAAGTTTGGAACTCAGTTTTTTTGGAACTCACATTACTTGTTGTTTCCATGTTGTTCTCGGAACAGCCATGCCTCTGAAACATTCGGACATCGCTGAAGTGACCACGTTTTATAGCATGAAATTACATTACTCGGAGTCTACGAATTATCATTTTTATACTTTAACCAGTGCTTCACCTCTGCTCCGCAGAGGTTCGCACTGGCATCGTGAACCGTGGTAACTCACTTTCTGAGAGCTTGTCTCTCAAATCATTGTTCGGTTTATTGCAAAGTGAGCCGTAGTTAAAAATGAACCATACTCGCTATCTTAACCTCACATGATGTTTAGTATCGTAAATCATTCCTCACTGTAATTTCGTAACGGACAAACTCCACACAACTTCAGATTAAGCCGCTTATTATAAGTCATGATGCTCGCACATCTCTTTTAGAAGGGAAAACTACTAATGATGAAAACAACTCTGTTGCTCTCTAGAGGGCCTGGTACAGATGTGGTGCTGCGTTGCTGCCGGTACTGCTGCCGGTAGCGCGCTTCCATCCATGAATACCGTCCCAGTGAAAAATCCAACCGTACCTACGCTTCTGTTGAATGAAAATTAGTTTTGGCTGATCGTAGCGAAATAAAAAAAAATGGGGTGTGTGACGTTTCGCACGACCGTAATGCTTTTCCTACAGGACCGTCGCCGCGCGCGACACACCCTGCGGCGGCTTTTGCGTAAGCAAAACAGGGGGAGGAAAGATTTGCGGCGTGCATTACATGTTGAGGCAAGTCAAAATCAGGGAGACGCTGGAGACCGCCCGTGCGAAAAGACCGTCTCCCAAATAATGGCAATTGTGTTAACTTGCATATCGCTAATCAGAGAGGCATTGCAAGGCCATTTGGCCAGGGATTGGCCATTTGCAATGCCTCTCTGACCCAGGACAAAGTCCGCGGATCAACCATTGCAAGGGTCGCGGGGCGGCCGCTGTTGCGATTCAAGGGCCGCTGTTCGGCCTTACACAAACTACGCCTCCGAATTGGAGCCGCGGTCCGGCCCAACCTGGCCAATCTCTTAAATTGAGGTCGCAAGCCAGTCGAAAGACCTTTTAAAGCCGCGGTTCGTCCGCTCCCAGTGTCTGAGTAAGTAACATTGATTTGAATACAGTAAGTAAATCCTGAAGTAATGGACTAATTACGTATGATCAATCTCTTAAAATAAGAATGATTGTGAAAGAGGATAGAAGCCCAACTTGGTGGTTATTTTCTGTAAGGATTTGAAATAAAAAAAGACTTTTTTAGCATGTCGTCATAAGCGTGTTCCATACTCGAACGAAAATGATGCTTACCCAGCTGCTTGCGTTGCAAACAATCGAGGACGAGTTTTGCTTTTGCGCTTTGTAGAAATACTTTGTCTAATTTGATAAAATTTATGTAGAGTTGAACTGAAATTGCCGCAAAAGCGTGACATCTACCTCCTCTTACTTGTAAGAGTTTAGTACAACATTGTATAGGGAGATTGTGTCACCGAGCTGAGCACAATGATTTTGTGAGTAAGCTACGTAATGACAACTTGCAAACAAACTTTAAGATTCAAATGAAAGTGTGTTATTTGAATACTTGCTTATCTCAAACGCTCTGTAGGTTTGGCCAAAGCGAAAAAAGGACTGTTCAACCCTGTAATCGGATACGGCTATGTGTCTTTATGGGATAGGCATTCTGTAGATATGCTGTATTTTACGTATGCAGATTTCCTCATTCTCTTAATACAGTCCTTGGAAATTGAAAGTTACTCAACTATCTCTTTTGGGCACTGTTTCCTCAGAAACTATTTTCTGGCTTTTCTAAATGGTGTGTGAAGACAATACAGGGCTTACTCAGACAAATCACCGGAACTTCCGAGGGGCAAGCGAAATTTGCAGAAATTTCGCAGGGCTTTGTTCACTGTTGCAAAAATGAAAACGTTAGATTCGAACTTTCGCGAGATTTTCGGCCAAACTGGTTGAATACTGGAACTTCCGCAGGACATTCTTCAAAATCCTGCGGAATTTCCGAAAGCCAGAGGTTTCGCAACACTTTGGCTTGCCAGAACTTCTGCAGGACTTTGATGTGTTGTCCAATATGATGTTGCTTTGCCAACAACTAGAGTGCATTATCAAACATGTCAGTCGTGGTGCAGAAGATAGTAGATGAGTCTCACAGTCAATAGAGTAAGGTTCAAATCTCGCTTAGGTGTTCTCTTTCACTGTTGTAGTTCGATTTCGGAACTTCCGCAAGACCTCATTTCGGAATTTCCGCAGGTGACCCGGCGGAACTTCCGCAAGCGCTCTGCGAAAGTCC